AAAGACTGACAGTACTGGGCATGTTCAGCCTTGAGAAGAAAAGATTGAGGGGGTCATGATATCACTCTATGAGTACCTCAAAGGCTATCACAAAGGGGAGATCAAGATTTCTTATCGCTCTTACCAGAGTATAGGACATGGAATAATCAATTCATGCAGTGAAAACCCAGAGTCAGGCTTGATATCAAGAAATGTTTTGTCACTGTCAGAGCAATACGACAGTGGAACCCATTGCCCAGAGAAGTTGTGGGCTCTCCCACACTGGAGACATTCAAAGAGAGACTTTACAGCCACCTGAGTGGGATGGTGTAAACTGGTGACCTGTAACAGCAAGGGGTTTATTTATTTAATTTATTTTTCGATTTATACCCTGCCTTTTTCCTACAAAGGGCTCAAGGCAGCTTACATCATTCTCCATCTCCATCTTATCCCCACAGCAACAACCCTGTGAGGTAGGTTGGGCTGAGAGTCTGTGACTGGCCCAAAGTCACCCACTTGGCTTCATGGCTGAGCGGGGACTAGAATCCAGATCACCTGAGTCCCAGTCCCATGCTTTTAACCACTACACCGCACTGGCTCTCCAGTTGAACCTGATGACCTTTCTGCCCCCTTTCAGTTCTACTATTCTATGATTCTATTAGTCTATCTACCATCAACACTGATGGTAAATAGACAATCAGTGTTGATGGTCTATCTACTATCAACTGACTAGGGACTGACTAGGCACTGATGGTGCCTAGTCAGTCCCAAGAGAGCACTTGGGACTGATTAGGCACAAGACAGTTCAACCCTGAGAGGGAGCCCTTGTCTACCATTAGCACTGAGGGCTCAGTTGGTTCTGACATAATGCTCAGTTCCAACCCCAGAGTAGTCAGAGCATTTAGGACCAAATGAAGATCTATGCTCAGCAGCATCAGTATCAAAAAGGAAATTATAGGACACCCTGCCCAAGACACCAACCCAACCACCCTAGGAAGCTTCAGTATTGAGCCAATACACATCACCACCTGCACAGGCTTCTGTACCCAGGCATTCCACCAATAATCTTACCCAGACAGACACCACTGCTGGAACCAGAGGAGCACTGTGACTGCTCCCACTCCCCACTGCTGGAATAGGACCATGCTGCAACTTGTTACCAGCACTCCCAAACAACTCACCAATACCCCTTCCATCTATTCTGAAGGGGCTCCAGGGCCCTCTGGACTCTCAACCCTAAATCATGACTCTCAATCTTGAGAGGTCATCCAGGTGTACATGACAGAGATTCAGCAACCACCAGTTACACCCATCCCACCAGTGCCTCTACATGGACTCAGTACCAATGGGACAACACCAACAGCACTCTCTGGTGCCACTGATTCCAGTACTGCATCCTGGAAAGAGACATCCCATTCCTCTTCCAGCAACCACAGCCCAACTCAGTCATTGCTGAGTCTGCACAGGGCCAATCACAATGGGAACAACATTGGTTGATCAAGAGGGCTGATGCTGGACAGTTTGGCTATGTGGGTCTGTTTGGCCTCATTGTTTGGCCTCTAGTTCTCCAATTGGCCTATGCTAAGAGTGCATCCTGGTTCCTGGCAGTCTCTCAGGCCAGAAGGCATGACACCACAGTCTGCTTCAAGCAAACATGAAAGCACCCAGAGGAGGCAAGTGGCATCACTGATTGCCTTCGCCAGCCAGCCCCTCCCCTCTGCCAGACATCTCTCTCTATTCCTTCCCACATGGGAAATGATAGCATCTGACTCCTGAGTCCTATCCATTGTGGAGAGATGCTTTCAAATGGAGTTTAACACCCTGCCACCTCTTGGGCCCATAAGGAGCACAGCTCCCTCCCAGCTGCTGATGTTGGAGGTCAATTCACTATTTCCAAGATGACCATGGAAAGACTTTGCCCAAGGTTTTGATTCTCACTATTACACGGCACTGAAATGAGATGGAGGACTCAGACTGATTCTAGACCTCAGAGGCATCAATTGCTTATCAAACAGGAAGTTCAGGATGGTCACCCACTCCCCTTTGGATTCTTAACTGCCTCCAGGCCTTCACCAAACAAATAGGAATAGTGTGCTCACACTTGCACCTCCAAGGAGTACAAATGGTTCTGGACCCTGATGACTGGATCCTACTTGCACCATCTAAGGTGAAGCTATTGCACTCCATCTCCACCACCTGCTTTCTCCTACAGACTCTGGGACTCTGCATTAACCATGAGAAATTCTTTCCCTCCCCTTCCCAGTCCATCTTCTTTGTAGGGGCCTACCTCAATTCATCTTCAAAGAAAGCCTTTGCATCATCCAGAGCATCTGTACTGATCAAGATGGCCACCAAACTCAGTAGGAGAGCAACTGTTACAGCCCACAGAATTAAAAAAAAGCTGCTTGGACTTAGGACTGCAACAATGGTAGTAATCCCTTTCACAAGACTCTGAATGAGACCCTTATAACTATAGTTTGTCCACGTATTTGACATCCTATGCAAGACAACAGGTGTCAGCTTATTACCCCCATATCCATTAATCATCACCACAGATGCATTACTGTCAGGATGGAGACCTGAGAAGCAGGGGACTTGGAATTGACAAAAGGTCAGCAGACACATCAACTTCCTCAAGATGCTAGCTGTACACAAAACCTTCACTGCCTCTGGACATGCCCACACAGATGCCAAATCCAGATGGTCAAGGACAACACTAAAGAAGTTTTCTCTTTCAACAGGGCAAAACACAATCAATTCCACTGACAAAACCAGCCATCAGGATCTGGGACTGGTGCATCAACAGAGACATAACCCTCATGGCCTTCCACATGGCAGGCACAAGCAACATGCTGGCAGACAGTCTCAGCCACATGAGCCTCATTATGCATGAGTGACAACTGAGCACCAGAGCCCTCTAAGAGATCAAAGACACATAGGGTAAGCTGACAGTCAACTTGTTTGCCACAGCCCGCAACATGGTCTGCCTGAACCTCTGCTTCCAGGCAGGATAAAGGGTCTGCTGTCTGGGAGATACATTTCTCCTCCGCTGATCAGAGGCATTGTTCTACCTCTTTCCCCCCACCCCCACTGAGCAGGAGGGCCAAGATAGACTGCATCCTTATCACCTCCTGGTGGCTGAGGCAACATGCTTCACTTGACTTCTGTGGCTCTGTAATGGGACATTGCTACATTTCCCTCACAGCCCAGAACTGATATGATGAGACTGGAGCAAAATCCTCCACCACAACATCAACACTCTGTGCATCCTGGCATTGCACATTACGCCACAAACCATACAGCTGATACTCTGCCAGGGCATCAGTACCATCCTCAGTGCTGCCCTGAAACCATCAACGAGAAAGTCTCACCTATCCAAATTCCAGGCATGTACTAGCTTCATGTGACAAGAAGTCCTTGACCCATGGGCCAGCACAACTGAGCACATTCTCTGATTTCTACAGACACTCTTCCGAAAGTCCTCCTCTCAAAGACTAGCAGCCTATATCACGAACATCTTCCTGGCCTACAAGCTGGCTGGTCTACAACTCTTGGCACTTTCAAGAGCTGACTCCAAACAAGCAGTGGCAATCTCCACAGGCTTCTTCACAGGAATACCTTTGCAGAGCAGCTACATGGTCCACACCTTCAGTGTTTGTCAAGTACTACAGGCTAGACATCCATGCAAGGGCAGACTGTTCCTTCAGCAGAGGAGTCCTCTTCATAATCCTCCAGCAATGACACCATCCTGTCATCCTCTCCAGGGTGAGCTTGTTGTTGCCCATATGTGTGATACACATGGACCACAAAATAGAAAGTCAGGTTGCTTACCTGTAACCGTCGTTCTTCCAGTGATTGTCTGTGCATTCCAACAACCTGCCCTCCAGCCCCACTTGGTGTTGAACCAAAGACAGCTGCCCTCACTCTGCCGGGACACAGGAGCCAGACTGGGGTGATATAACATTCTTCCCTCAGTCATGTGACTGATTGGTGGTCTTAACTGAGGGGAATGGATGAGATACCCTCCCACAGACGTAGGTAATAGGAAGGAAATATCTCCCACCCAAAATAACACTTAGCTGTAGAATCTTCCCAACAATAGGCTCAATGCAGATACACAGCCTATATGTGTGAATGCACAGATGACCACTTGAAGAAAACGGATACAGGTAAGCAACCAGATTTTTCATTTGAGTAAAGCTGATTCCTAATAGAAATGGAAAGTCTTTTGAGAGATATTGGTTTCCCTCAGTACGCCAATATTTTGCCTAAGGAGTAACCCACTTTTTGTCCTAATGTTTTATTTGAGAAGTCATAATGAAATCTCCTAGCTTCTACTACTACAAAATAATTTCAGTGACTTCTCCCAGCAACTAGGCGCAGCCTATTTTGGGGTAATGTAGATATTCTGGAATTGATCTACTGAACATGCAAAGTATTTTTGTGCACAGAAAAACCTTTTATTAATGTTCATAACTGAGAATTTAATTTATTTGTATATGCTTTCCCTGCCAAATTAAGCAGCTGCTAGCCAGGTTTTGCAAAACAAAACAAAAAAGCCTAGTGACAAACACATCTGTTCCCAGTATCTAGTGATTGTTCAAAGTAAACAAGTATTACATGATTGTATGATCATATCATAGAGGCTCAAAGGTGAACAAGAAGAAGAAGAGCAGTTCCTGGTTTTCCTCGTACTCCCTCATTTTAACACGGTTTAAAAAAATACAACTTTACGGATTTTATCCCTGAACTGTTGTTATACTTTCATGAGTCTTCACATAATCTCTTTTTTCCTATTTGGTAAAACTTCATTTCATTATGTGCAAAATAAACCATTAAATCTTTTAGGAGACCTGATCTTCTCTCTTAAGTGGCTATCCAACTTCTTCTGCTGGGCACCTTTTGGAGGTTTGGTCTTGAGCTGGAGGAAGGGCAATGTCAATTTCTTACAAAGAAAAAGCTAGCACAGTATGATTGCTTCTGAGATGCGAATACTGACATTTTCTCCTTCCCCATTTTAGCTCTTGCATCTGGTGGCTCGCTTCCAATAACATCACTGGATGCAACTGGGAACTTGGTATTTGCCAATGCTGGAGGTACGCCTAACATCGTAACTGCCCCACTGTTCCTGAACCCTCAGAACCTTTCACTGCTCACCAGCAACCCGGTTAGCTTGGTCTCTGCAGCTGCAGCTTCCGCAGGGGCCTCTGGACCGACAGTCGCCAGCCTTCATGCCACCTCCACCTCAGCAGAGTCTATCCAGAACTCACTCTTCACAGTGGCCTCAGCCAGTGGGGCTACCTCCACCACCACTACTGCCTCCAAGGCACAGTGATGAGTTGAGCTGAGCTGTGCTCCCCCTAGCCCATTTCACTCTGTGGTGATTTTGGCCGCCAGCTGGGTTTATAAACTGCAAAATGTGATTGGCTTCTTCTTGCCATGTTGCTGGGGACAAGGGAGAGAAGGAAAAATACAAAAAGGGGGAAAAGAAGTAAAAAACTACAAGAAGAAGGATTTAAAACTGGGACAAGTATTTGCCTAATTTTATAATAAACACTGTCTTTTCAGGATTGCTTCATTGATTGGAGAACTTTCTAACCAAAAATGTAAAAAAACAAAAAACAAAAAAAAACAAAAAACAAAAAAGGACTACTTATCATTTCCAGCAGTCTCAATGACAAGTTAAGGTGGGTTATCAACTCAAACATAGGAATGGGATTTCTTCTTTCTTTTTGATCTAAATATCTTTTTTTTAATTATCATTTATTGGTCTGTTGTACAGGCCATAATGTCATACAAGGTGTTTATAATCTTATCAATCGTGTTGGGGGTTCCTTTCTTAACTGGTACAATTTAGGCAGGCCTGTATTACTGATGTATCTCTTTATGATTATTATTATTATTTTTATATATATATATATATATATATATATAGTTCGGACACATTTGTCTTTGTTCCTGGAACTGTTTCAGTGAGTTTCCATGCCACACAGAGGGAAGAGAGGAGAGAGGGGAGCACATGAATTGCGAATGTTCTTTACCGTTTCCTTTTCCTTGGCGGTATGTTTTTTGTTATTCTCTCAGAGGTGTTGATGGCTAAGTGAACAAGCAAAGGGTAATGTGCAAAGATAGTCCATGCTTGTGAGATGAGAGTTTAGTTTGGACAGCAGTTTGCTCAGTGTACTCTAGGCTAAATCTAGCTCTCATTTGCACGTCTTTGGCTCCTGCTGATGCCAAGGGGGTAAGGATTTAGCCTGTAAAGTCTGTCTTCAGCACCTGAGCTAGTGGCTCTCTTACTCATAATTGCATGGAAATTGCCACTTTACAACTTTGGGAATATTTCTCTTATTTATGTTCTCAGGAGGCTGCCTGTGTTGGTGAAAACTTATATGTATCCATTGACGCTTCCTACCAGCTGTTTGGCATAGGATTTCTAAAAGCTGCATTGGCTCATTTCTAAGAGCATTTTTTCCTGGTGTCTCCAGTATGATTGTATTGAAAATGTTTTAAGCTTAAAACATTACTTGCTCCAGAAGAAAACTGGGTCATTTAAACAGGAAGTACTGTTTTATACCAACACAGCCATAAGAAAAAGTAGCCTTGTGTTCTTGCTCCATTCTAAACAGTTTGTAGTGTTGTTTGATACTGTTCACTGCTCTGGAAAAAGGTGATAAGGAATTATTAGAAAACTGGCCAGCCTGCTGAAGGATATGGTAAACACTGGCATGTTGCATGTATTTTGCAATACTTTGTGCTCTTCTGGTGGCAGCTGCTGCTGCTTGCTAGCTAGATTATTAATGTCAGAAAACACTTCTGTTATGGAGGAGGAAAAACGTTTTCAAGCAACATAACAAGTGGTATGTGCAAACAGCTGCTGACAATGGACATGAGAGAGGCAGAGGAGATGGAGATTGATTTAAATATTATACTAGTTTGAACCCTAAATCTCCTCAGCTAAGAAGAGATTTGATCATTGCAATATATTTGGAACGTTCCTGTCCCTTTGAGCTGAATTAGACAATAATCGGAGGTAGAGCTGCCCACAGTTAACTTTTCACCAAGGCAGGGTTTCATGGGAAGAAATCTAAAGCTAATGCAACTCTATCAATTTCCTGCCTGACGTAATCCTCCTTACCACCTGACATCCGAAAGGCAAAAACTTTCTTCTCACAGCCTTTCTCTGGATGGTGACTCCAATTCAAAGGCTTCACATTAATCGTCAACTGGCAAAAATCTTTGTCTCCTCGCTACATAATGTATTTTGTTTGCTCTCTGTTCATCTCTAAATCTCCAACTTCTTGTTTTAACAGCTATTTAAAATAATGACTTCTTCCTAAAAATTTAAAAATGTGTGAACTGCAAGCAGGGAAATGAGCAAATGTCCGTCCACCGTCTTTCATGTGTTTATTTTTTTTAATGTTTTATTTTTTTAAAACTAAGCTTGAACCAAAGTCAATTTCTAGCAAGCTGCTGTACTAATGGACTAGTCTGTATAAGTGCAGTTCAGATGCAGAGAGGTGATAGATGCTACTGACAATTTCTTTTCATTTTTTTATTTTATATAAAATTGCTGCTTGTTTTAATCTTTTGGGGGGAGGGGTTGGTCTTTTGTATATCCTTGGGGCAGACAACTCTTAACTTGATTATTATCTAATTTCCATGGTTGGTGTATAATAGAATGGCAATGGCGGATGGTTACATATCCAAGTGATCCCACATTCTCCTTAGCAGTTTGGCACAATCAAAATACTGTGTCATGACTGGCTTCATGATTTCAGTCTCAGTGTAAAATTATAGGGCTATGAATAATACTGTATGTTAACAATGTAAGTGGCCCATAGCAACAGTTTGGAGCAGTTGCTTTTATAAAAGGATGGCAAAAGAGAGACAAGTACCCACTATATTGGTCTAGGCAGGGGCCATAGTCTTGAATAGTTTCTACCAAAGGAGATATCAGTTCCATGGATTTTTAAAAATTTTGTCCAGTCATATAAGACATTAGTTTGTGTTCTTCAGTGCACATATGCACCAACATACAGAGGTGCAGCACACTCTTTGACAGGCAGAGGGGATGGTGGTGACTTCATGGTGTTTGCTTATCGATTTTGGACTACAAGGAAGAGATGCTTTATGTACAAAAATAAAAAATGACCCTTTAAACCATCATAAATCATCTCTCCAAGATCCAGAGATGTTGTGTGTTCTCTTGACTGGCTAAAGTTTCTCAATATCACTGTGGTTAGAGGGTAAAATAAATAGAAATAATATAAAAATAAGATATAATAGATATCTAGAACACTAATGTAGCTCAGTTGGTGGCTGTAAAAAGCTTTCTCTTCTATTGCAGTATTCACATAATGTTGGTGTGGATCCTATTAATCCTTCTGTCACCCTGCCACATACAAATATTATCAGAATCATGGGAGATTCCATAGCAAGCTCTTTATGAAAGAAATTGGGTGCCGAAAAAAGCCACAAAGAAACTGCAACTAGAATGCCTTGGTTGAATTGTATTCCTGTGTTACATGTTTCATTCCACCTGTGGCTCAAATCTAATGCATCTGATGCCTATTCATGCGACTAAATAGGTATCAAATGCAGCAGCTCAGAGATAACAGGATCTTAATGGCTATCAATTTTTCTTGTTGACCACGCCCATTTAATTAGCTGTATACATTAATAGGCACACACACAAATAGACATATAAATATTATTGCACATTCTAGAGATATAGTGCAGCTTCTAAAATATAGTGATAGCATTTAAGATTAAATTATAACTTGAGTAGAAAATCAGATCTGGACAATTGGAGAATGTGAGAGTTGTAATAAATAGCTATTATCACAAAATTATAAATTTAGGTGGCACTCCTGGACTTTATCACAGTAGCTACAATGTTTTGGTACTCACAATAAAGTGCAATTTCTGTAATCCAAAACACAGTATGATGTGTGTGTCCTAATATCCAGAATTGGCCACTCTCTTTTCCCATTACTAGATCAAATTTGTGGTTCAGTATCCCAACATTCTAGAAAATTTTGAATTAATGTTATTTCCATCTTTCAGGGATGGGTATTCAACTGTCAGATTTGAATACATACAGATTTGTTTTGTATGCTTTCTTAGATCTGGCTTCATAGGGCAAAAGACTGAAATATTTCCTTGCATGACAAGACAGGTTCATTATGTTAAATCTTATTTATTACAGATCCACAGGAAAATAAGTAGATTTATCCCCATATCTGAAGTCTACATGGTTTTAGCTTACTTAAGAAAATCACACTGGATACATTTCATTTATCCCTTTTAAATTGGTGGGAAAGTTTCTATTGCTTTTAATAAAGTGTAGTGCCAGAAGTTTGAAAGACACATAAGGAACTGAACTGGGACTGTTCGGAGAAGTAGAAATGAGTGACATGTACAGACTTAGCAATACCATGCATACTTTCTTTAGTAAGGGAATCCATATTCCAAATAGAAACATGGGTAATTTTAGTGCAGAATTTGGTAACACTCAGTACATACACATGGACATACTGATGACAGTGTTTCAAAAACAGGCCTACTATTTCACAATCTTTTCTTAGTCTGACCATCTTTTGCCATTTTTCACATCACATGTTCAACAAACAGTATTGGAATGTGCCCTTAGTTTACACTTCATTTAGTGGAGCAGAATATTTAACATTATCTTCAGATAATGTGCACATACATAATTTGACCCCTTTTCTTTGCAAGGCTTCAGTTTATGTGGTGTTACTAAATGAATAACTGCTTTATATGTGTATAGCATCTTAATTATACACATCCACATCTGTTGGTGCTGATAGACCAGTCAGAAGTGCTGCAGGTTTGAGCAGGTCTTCCGAGTAACATATGGTAGCTCAACCTGCACTGAATGGCCAGTTGCTCAGATTGAAGAATTGGGCCTCAAGTAGCAGTGGTATAAGACCAAATTCTACCTTATTGGCTCCTTGGGTCACCTGCAGCTGGGCCAGAAAGTTGATGTCCATTTGTAGTTGTGATGCTGTGGAACAGCAGAGCTCAGGTAAGCAGTTCACTCTGCCTGCAAACTGCCGCAGTGCCATAGAGGATATGATGGCTGGACCCTGAATTAGTTTGATTTAAGGATGTTGAGACCAAGGATTGAGTATTAGAGACTTGAGATGCAGAGATTTAGGCATGTTCCAAAAAAAGAAAAGAAGAAGAGGAAGAATGGAGCTAAAATGTGTACTGTCCTTAATCTCAGGGCATGCAGGAGTGCTTTTGCAGTGGATTCTAACATGATAGCAATGAGATGAATATCACTTTTTTAAAAAAAATGGGTAGATTTACACATGTCTGCAGCAGTGTTTGCCATTTCTCCACCTAGCACATAGGCAGGTATATTTGACAATAGTCATTTCCATGACACACATTTAGGACTGGAACCAGTAGAATATTCTTAGTTAACATAGATTAAGGATATGAGCTGTGGGATCCCCAGGTTTATATTACATAACCCATGATTAAGATGAATTCCAGCATAAACATTAAACATGTTAAAGGTTGACAAGAAGAATTTCTA